CTAAACCAATTATTCCCCTCAGGCTCAGTGATAATGGTGAATATTTGTCTGCTTGAAGACTCGCAGCTCAGTAAATATTCAGTGATAATCACTTTGCTTTGGTGGATAATTGTTAAGAAATCTGTCATCAACAATCTAAAAATTGTTAAATAACAATAATCTAACAATAATAATAAAAATAATAATCTAACAATTGTTTCTAAGGCTGAAATACTGCCATCTTCTTAACAGTTTATTTTATATCAACTTGCCTTGCACATGGTTGCTGATTATTGTCCATGTCACAGAAAATAGCATATTTACTTAATTTATTCTATTGTATTTTTTCTAATGTGATTCCTCAAGGAAGTGTGCCTAGCAAGGGACTTAGAGTCCCGTTTGCGCTCTCCCTAATGGGTAGTCTTTCACATTTATTTTCCTAATTGTATACATATACCTTAATTATAACTATTGGCCAATCAAGTTGTAAAACTTAATTTGACACACTTATAAGTTTAAAATCAACAAATCACAAAAACAAAATGACAAATTTAAGTTTAACGCATTTTATAAAGAACAAAACCATTTTATAACCAAAAATATATGAAAAATACAACTTAGTTAAATCATAACTTAGTTATGTAATGAAATAATGATGAATAATGACACGTCAACTGACACAGAACATGTGATATTTTCGTCAAAGTCACATGTCAGTAGTAAGCTTAGTTGTTGTGTTTCGTAAAATCAAAACGAATTTTCATGTATTTTTATCCAAAAATACGTGAACATAAATAATTTTGGGACTATAAAATACCTCTACTGTACACTGTGCATCGTTATAATGAGCTCTACGGTGAGATCTATGGAGAAATAAAGCAAAAAATAACACAGGAAGCATAAATAATTTTGGAATTTCTTGCAAGACGCTTCAACCTGCTTATGATATTTCTTACCTTCCAGAGAGATAAACGTTTCTTTTAAGACTTCTRACGCCGTCTTGGAAACCAATCCAGCATCCTCGCCAACAACTTGTCATCCTTGAWGAATATAATCTTTTAGATCATTTTAAAATGCTGAGAAAATCGCCATCAAAAGTATAACCCTCAAACGAAGTTAATGAAATTCTGAAAGAACATGTGATCATGCGTGGTAACATATAAACAGGTCCTTTTTAAGTTGTGACGTATTTCCGGTTCCAATTGCTCACAGATCTGTTAAAATATAACGAAAAATGTACTCARTCATTTAAATTCCAACTCAAATAATTAAAACTTCGAACGAAAAAAGCTTTTGTGAAGAAAAAATAAGAATAAACTCTAGTAAGGAATGCATGCTATTTGTGGAAGTCGTTTTGATACGAGTGACGTCAGTACCCGTAATGCTATTGTCCTATTGGCAGGTGCAATTTCTTAAGAAAATTAAAATTAAAAATACATTTTATCCTAAAAATAAGCTACCACACTTTTGCTATTACTTTTTAAACTCTATCTTTCATTAAAAAGATTGTTTGATATATGAAAAAATATATGTGAGTTTTTCCGTTTTGGGCTTCCTGCGACTATATGTTATTTTACCCATCATGCTCTTGGATGTATTTTTTTTTAGATTCACATTTAGRAATAATTTTATCTTTAAAAAAATAATTCATCTTATAAAACTCTTATAAAATTCATCTTTAATCTTTTAATGTTTTCTAAAAAAAGAAAACAAAAATCAATTATTATTTAGGAATTTTCATTATTAGGGATTTGTCTCTGTTGGGCTTCCTGTGGCGTTCTCCTTCAAAGGCTTCTTCAAGATGGCAGCTTTGTGAAGGACCTTTTCAATAACCTAACTTTTCGTCGAAAAAAATAGCGTTAATTCAACTTAAAAGCTAAAAATGGTGTACTTTGACTCTTGGGATGAGTTTTCCAAGGCTGTAGAGCAGTTATACATGGCAGAACCTAATAAGGTAAGCAAAAAATTGCGAAAAAGTTTCGCTGTTTGGGCAAAGTTAAGGACACGTGTATCTTTGCAGAAAGAAAAATATGATTATTTTATGATTTTAAACGATGAAAATCAAATTCTATCTACAGTAAACCTGCATTGATAAATGATATTCATCTYTTAGGGATTTTTTAAAAATTGTAGCAAAGATTTCTTGGATTTTTTTCGACTATACTCAAAAAAATTGTCGCTCATTTTTCATTTTTTTAAAAACTAGTTACTCTAGTTCTATAACTTATTAAGTTACTTTGTAAATKTATTTAAGGTTTTACTTAATCGCATTGGAGTTTAAATGAATTAATGTTTTGTTTCAGTTTCGCTTTGTTATCAAATATCGACATTGTGATGGGAAGTTAGTGATAAAGGGAACAGATGACCAAATGGTGAGTGATTGATGTAAACAGACAATAAAGTCTTACTCTGGTTCCCGATATTCTGCAAACTCAGTAGTTGCGAGCTGCACACTGAAGTTTGGTTTTTCGCTGCCATCAATCGAGAATAATCGGTTGGTTTCCTTTAAGTTCTCGACTGACAGCAGTGAAAAACCAATAGCCAGCRCACTGATTCTAAAAATAGCTTGAAGATTTGGACAAACATTGCATCCTGTTTAACCGCTACGAGGATTATACGAACTGATTTTATTATTTTTACTTAAAGTTACAATAATAACCCATGTAAACTAAGACCAACTGCGATCGGCTGTGAAAATTATCTGCTGAAAGTAAACTTGTAAGTTTGTTTGTCCRAATTTCGCCTTTGTCTTCGTTTTTATGATGTCACAGTTAAGCTGCGCTTTCTCACAACAAGCCTATGAGATATCTAAGTTCACAGAATATCCAAAACTGCAATAAAGCAGATTTTACATGATTATGAAATGACCTGCATATGGCACTGTCATAGCACAGAATTTCGTACTCAAACCCAGGGAGAGAGGGGTACTCCCATATATGATAATGATGTTTGTCCATTTCTCTGCAAAGATGACCATAGGTACTCTTGTACATAGCCTATATGTGTATGAGAATATATATACAGTCAATGTCATTAACGTTGTCCACCAAAAAAAGACATTTACACATTTAGACTAAAAGATATATCACGTGTTTTCTCGAACGTTCTGGCATAAAACAAACGCTGAAATACCATTCTCCATCTTAAATCCTCACTAAATGGTCAGGGCATTCTGGATTTTTGATTCACGAGTTGAATTTTACATTTAAAGTTCAGGCTGACGCACACGAGGCAAAGAATACATAATGAAACACGTGATACATCTCTTAGTCTAAATGTGTAAATGTCTTTTTTTGGTGGACAACGTTAATGACATTGACTGTATAAATATATTCTCATACACATATATATCTCTCCAATCAGGCAGATAAACCCACCTAATGTGTCCTTGAAGTCTCATGCGAGATTTAGTAGCTCAGTGGTTAGAACATGGCATCAGAATCGCCAGGGCAYGGGTTCAAATCCTGTTCAAGACTCAGAATTTTTTCTGAGTCTGTTTATTTGAAGCTGCATAAGTTGCTTCATATACYGTGAGGATCAGCTCAACTTGATACATCCTATAGAACCAACATATTTCAGATGCAGCCCAATTCAGAGGACAAACCAATAGATTCTTACTCTCATGAGCACTGAAACACATTGTTTTGTTCTCTTGGTTGAACAGCTCTGGGAATTTCTGAAACCAGTCTATATGACAATATATTAATTCAACTGGATAGTGTATGTTTTCTTGGGATTTTGGTCTTAGACAGTACTGTATACGATTTCTATGATAATGTCTTGAATAGGGTCATCACGGACCCCCTGACAGTCCAGTAAGTACCTCAGGGTTATTTAGTGAAGTATATTACCATTATAGTGTAATGTTTTCTCATTTCAGACCACGATATGTCATTCTCTTGAGAATAAGATTTGTTTGAGTTATATATGTGATGAAATACATGTTAACACTTGTAACTGAACACTCGCAGATGCGACTAGATTAATTGGACATGCRTAGATCAGATCATATATTCTTTGTCCTTTTGTTAAGCCAAAATACTACTACTTAATTAATGAACGAGAACAATCTGAAACTCGCTGTGAGTACTAATCGTATTAAGAAACGTTACATCCACACCCATTGGTCTTTCGTGTGCAACCTTTAAATAAAGAAATGATACTCTAGGGAATGACACATGGCCTGAAATGGGAAAATATTATGCCTTTAACCTAGAACAATAGGTTTCCCAAYTATTCCACTCCATTAACTATGTTTTCACACACACTTACTTCCATGCAGTGCTCATAATTCAAAGTTTATTGATAGTTTTCATCTTGTTTTCAGTGTTTAAAATATAGAACAGAGCAGTCACAAGACCTTAAGAAATTAGAAAAACTAAATAGCATTCTYATGAGACACATAGCATCAAGATGATCAATGACAAGCAATACTAAAACAAGATTAAAGAAGACAAGAAATGGGGTAACAATATGCAACTATTCTCATGGTTGTCTACATATGTAACCTCCTTTGCCAAAAACAGACCAAGACGAGCTTAAGGATAGTTGCTAGTAAGCATTTCAGTCAGGCATTATTATATTTTGTTAACAAATATCCTGAAAARCAGTACATTTTTGTTTGAAAAATGTTTAAGTAAATTTAGCAATAATTATATAATTGACATTTTATTAAAAGAAATGGCTCTAAAAAAATTTACTTCATGCTGTAAGAAGTATTGTAGAGTGTTTTCACGTGACGTCACAGCGGCCATTG